AACAAATTTTTAGGTTTTTTTGTTTTGTAAATTGCGGCAAAACTGAGCCTCAATGATATAATACCTTGACCTAAACCTATGTAAAATGTTCCGGAGAATCGATTGGCGTCAAAAAAACTGCAAAATTCCTAATAGTTTTGAAGTTATGGTCGGATTTATATTATCCATACTTTTGACTTTATCACAAATTTTCTCGATAACTATTTATCGTAGAATACTGATTTTTTTTTATATGATAGAAAATTAAATTTGCTTTCCAACGGTACCAAATATAAGAGGTTATTACCAATAAGTCCGGAGTTATTGGCAATAGACCGCTCCGGGTGCCAGAAATCGACCAAAATTTCGACAAAAATCAAAAAGATTTCAACTTTAAAATTCAATCATTTGCACTCCTGATAGTTTAAGAGAGTGAGAAAAGTACAAAAATGTTGCAAGAATGCAAGAAATAAATTTGACACTATTTTTAGAAACATTTCAAACAAAAATCAATTTACATTTCTAGAAGCCTAAAGATCAAGCAAAGATTTATTAAATGAGAAATAAAAATATTACACCATAGAAAAAACTATAGTCGTTTCTCGTCGATAAAGTCTTACCGGCGTCATGCTCGCCTCGGACCTCTTCCCGAACCTCAGCCTCAAAGAGGGCGAACGTCCCGATTTCCTCACCATTTGAAAACCTCCTCCACCTCCTCCCAATTTGTCGTCCATCGCCTCCTTTTGGAGGAGAATCTCCCACAAGTCCCTTATGCTATCTGCGAATATACAGAAAGAAATGTCGTCATCTTAAAAAACAAACCACAGCCATCTCATTTCAATATTTCAATCGGATTCGACGATGTAAATGCACTCGTTGTTTACACAGGGGATAAAGTAGCGAATTTTTCTTTCCACTATACTTCATATATCTCTCTCCCATCTCCTTCGAGAGAGACTTGAACGATGAAAAATTATTTTTACAAAATTAAATCAAAGTGTGTGTTGTTTAAAACGACTGAATTGATCACATGTGATGTGACAGAAATAGTTCGATATTCACACGGTGGAGTGGAGTGGAAGGAAATCGGTTTGCGGCACGCCGGAGCGTACAAAATCAACACAACTTAGATTTTTACGTCACGAACAATGGACGGTGGCAATTTTTTAACTGATTTATACAATGTATAAGGCGGCGGTGACGGAAAATTGCATCTGATCTAGATTGCCGTGCATTGTTGACATGACCACGATTTTATCGACGCGGTTTAGCTTTTTTTTATTGTAAAATGTGTTAATTTAATGACATGGTAGTACTACAATATCTTTTTTTGCTAATAAAAGTTCAATTGTTTTTCGTATTATTGTCATTTCTGAAACAATTCCTTTAAAAAAAATCAATTTTCTAGTCTTACCTGTTGATAAAGTGGTTCTTTTTTTATGTTTTGATGAAAAAGAGAATAAAAAGTTTTTATTTAGTAGTCCTATCGCATCGATAAATAAACACTGTTTCATTTTGCTTGTTTTTATATAGAAATTGTTTAAAACTCACTTTATTAATTAAAAATTCACAATACCAATAAAGTAGTGGACAATTTTATCCCAATTTAATACAAATCATACAACGAAATTAATAAAGTCGTAGCCAATTACGTAAAAAGCACAAAAAAGGTTTAGAGGACGATTTTATTAACACGGAATTACTAGATGTTTTAAAAACAAAAATATTTCCGAATTTTTGATATTTTAAATGTATTTTTTCTAGTCCTACCACGTTAATACA